ATGCTCGGAGAATAATTTCAGCAGGGTTGGAAAGGGAACAGGAGAGACATCCTTCACTCTACAGACCGATGAAATTATTTTCACTGCCACTCCCCATTGCACTCATGGCTCGGATGGATCAATAACCGAGAAGACTACTGTAATCCCTAATTGCGTTAATTAATTAGAGAGCCTGGTCGTAAAAAACAAGATCTTTCTGACTGAATTGTGAATTTCTAAAATGGTTTCTTGAACGTTTAAAAATTTAAAATGTGTGTAATAATGAGTTATTTAAATAAATAAATAAATATATATATATATATATTTCATTCGTACAACATTGCCTTTGATTAATCGTATTTATAAAGATCAAGGTTACAATTAATAGCACTCTCCTTTCTTTCTTTTTATATTATACTACTATATCTATCTTACATTATTATTAGACTCCGGACTTTTGTACGTAATCTTCAGTAGGAGATTGTTTTACGTGTTAAATATTTTCTTTTCATTCTTTTCTGTATTGGTGCGAATTTTGTGCAGTTTCCTATAAATGTATAAAAATCCACAGTCTAATCATTACAGTAGATTAATTTTTCCTCTTTAAAAAAAAAAAAAAAAAAAGAAAAGTACGCCTTCGAACGCAGCGTACGTGCTGCTCACTTTCACGTAAACAGCATTTTAAAAATTTCCAAACATTCGCGGATGGTATCACGTTCGACGTGATGGTCGGACGATTTCATCAGATATTTCGTACGTGATGCGAATCTACAAATTTCGCGAGTTCGACTGTGGAGGAGATGGGCGCACGAATCGCAGCGATTCGCGTGATCGAGGCTGAATCGAGAACGCGACGGAAATGCAGTTTGTATGGCAGATTGCCGGTTCCACGCTGTGGTAACCTTCCCGTTAAAAATCAGGACTCGTATATCGCGGCAGGGTTTTTCTGCTTTATCGCGCGATCGGAATGTAAACGCGCGCTGCAACGAAATTTATATCGCAACGTCGAGACACACAGGCGTGTGTTACCAGAGTATCATTGCTTTCTGCAATCGCAACGTTTTCGTTGTATAAATTTGCTTTGAAAGCGAGGGAGTTCGTGCTTTGTAAACAGAACGATGGTGTGACTGAATGGGGTGGAAAGCTTATAGAGAGAAAGATTTAAGCCTCTAAAGTAATTAAACTTTAACTCTCACAATCACAGCCGATATAAATCGTTGGATTATCGGCGATCGCGAAAATTTAAGATTGAATTGCTTAATTTTGAAAGTTAAATTACAAGTGGAAAGAAGAAAATGAAGAAGGAAAGTATACCTCCTCCACGTACTGATCTCTATCATGGAAAATAGAAAATGAAATTAAATTCATAATACTGCGATAAATAAGAAATATTGTAAAATGTAGAAAAAATAAAATTTTCCCCCCTAAAAAATAGTCGCTCGTATCGTTTCATGATTAAATAAGGAATCATCAAAGAATACTGCAACGTTATAATGGATTATTATCAAAGTAAGAGTAAGAAGTGAAAAGTTTCCTTCAAATTTCCCCAGCTCTTGGAAAATTCAATCGAAACGTGACGCTAATGACGCTAAATGAAACGACGTTTCGAACAGAGAAAGTGATATGAAAAATGGATTTTAGCGTAGCGAAGGGAAAGAAAAAAGCGACAGAGGCAGAGAAATCCGGCAGTACGCATACGCGGAGACACGACGTTATACCGGTTTATCGATTGTGGCTAGAACGAGTAGCAGGCTGAAGCCGAAGAAGAGCGGAAAAGGAGGAAAACCTCGTAATAGAATGGTTACACCTGTTACACTTCAGTAAATAGTTTAAAGCGTTCATTTACAAATCGCGTTCTACTTGCTTCTACTACGCTTTTAAATTCCACCGCACCGATCAATTTCGCCGGAATAACTTTCTAGATTTTTTTTTGAACTTTTTCCAATATATAATGATAACAATATCGCGTTTTCTTTTTTTTTTTTTCTTGCAACAATGACTTTCGATTTTATATATTTCTAAATCAAAAAGGGTGAAATGCAAGGGACAATTTTATGAATACGAAATGGTGAGAAATTCTCCGAAAACGGAGATGTTGAAGATTGTGAAAATAATTTAAATTCTCAATGCTGCGAACAGTTCTGCGGGAATCTCGATAGCAAGAACTCGCGTAATTCGCGAGTTATAACGTCGCACGTTTCCAGATTTTTCTGGAACGGAAAAACTGTGAAAATCATTGAAATTTTCAATTGTACGAAAGTAAAGTAAACGCAAAGAGCATGTGCAATAAATGGTAGAAAATTTCTCGAATCCGAGATTCCAGACTATTTTACATATTTTTACATATTTTTGAATCGAACGAAAATTGCGAAATATTTGAATTTTTGATACTACGAAGGGACATAGATTCCAAACTGAATTTGTGCCTTTTGATTTCATACGTTTTCAGATCGTAAAAAATTATTGAAATTTTCTACAAAACGGATAGAACAATCCTATGAATTGTACATGGATGATGGAAAATTCTCCGAAAAGCTGAATTACTTTTGTAATTTTACATCGGTTTGGATTTCGTAATCAACTGATAGTTGATCGAACGAGGAAACGAATAAGAGAGTGTTGATTAATCAGCGAAATCGCGTGTGGTTGAGTAATTGAAACAGTATCAACAGACATAACGCATGTCAGATGTATATGGTAAACAGAAATCCACGCCGTGTGAGTGTAACTGTTCTCGGCATTGCAAAATTGCTTAACACGCGTTGAAAGTGTAAATGTTACCAGAATGGGGGGGAGGGGAGGGGATTTTCATGTAATTTTACAAATATAATTAAGGAACTAATGAATATAATTACAAATGCAATTAAAACGTAGGATTTAAATAAAGATCTGTTTCCGCCCGCATGATGAAAAAAGTCATAATTCTCAATAAATTTTCACATATTATATTCTGTACATTCGTACATTCTCGTGCATCCTTTAAATTTTAAAACGTAAACCATTTCTCGTAATTATTACACACGATCCTACGAAATTTGCATTCACATAATTTCTTTAATCTGAAATTTGGCCGATTATATCTCGACAATGGATTGAAGATTAACCCGTGCAATTCTCAACTTTCTTCGCAAAGAAGCGAAGAATGAAGAAAAAAACCTCGTTGAAATTTTTGAATAAATCGTGCCACCAAATTGAGGAAACATCGATGGAGAAAATGTTGAGACTAAATTCAACTAAATGATTAGGAACATTTCGCTTTTCTCTTGCGTCATGAGAAGTCTTAAGGCAAGAAAAGAGAAGTTACTCTGATAAAAAATCACGCTCCCTCCGGTTATGGAATACTTATCAGCTCATCTTTCGCTCACTTTTCACGAGTAACCGTGTAAATGAATTTTCACTTTAACTCTGGGTAGACTATGGTTTCAACGAAACCGTCTTGGTTAAACACAATTGCTTTCTTTCCACTGCAATGTGACTAAAGTCGACATTGACTTTATGGTGTACAGATTTTCACAGTGCTGTTTCTGTCTACGGCTTCCTTTAATTACTCAGATGATAGTATTGGTTAGTCTACGCATTTCTAATGACGTGCATGCACTTGTTGCACTGTTTCATCGAAGTATCTCTTTTCAACAAATCAGCAACTATTTTTTTTTCGAAGAGTTCTATTCAATAAAACTAATAATATTGAATAGAATAAATTTTATAAAATATTTATATCAAGTTTAGTTGCTTCATTTTAAATTCTTTCCTATCCGAGTGAAAAAGATTTTTCGTTATGAATTGTGAGTAATAGAGAAGAAAGAAAAAATCTCTTTCTACTATCGAGGAAAGGTAATGCAATCAAATTTAAAATTTAAAATCGATTTTCCCGGAAATAAATACTGGACGACCGCGTAGATTCGTTTACACAAGCAGGCCAACAGTGTTATAATAAATATAACATTTCAAATTTATAAAATAAATAAATAAAATAATTAATAATTAAATACTCGGAAAGGATTTTATGGTATACATATATCACATCAATAAATTTCCATCAAAATCTCAAAAAAAAAAACAGTCTAAACTAAGATAATTTAATAATTTTAAGCTCCCAAAATAAGTTCTTCTTTTAAAAACAATCCCAAATATCTGCATAAGAAACAATTCTATGTTCTACATCAAAGGAATTTCCATCAGATAATCAAAAACAGTCTGATTTAATAATCCTAAGTTCCTGAGGGATAGAATAAGTTTTTCTTTTAATAATAATTAAATAAGAAAAACTTGTATAAAAGACAAATATTCCATATCAATGAATTTCCCTTAGAACCTCAAAAACAGCCTAATTCAATAATTCCTGAGAAATGAAATAAGCTCTTCTCTTAAAAACAATCCCAAAAATCTATATAAAAGGCAAATTCTACGTTCTCCACCAATGAATTTCCATCAGAACCTCAAACACAGTCTAAAACGAGATAATTTAACAATTCCAAGTCCCGGAAGAATAAAATAAGCTCTTCTCTTAATAATAATCTCATAAAAACCTGTATAAAAGGTACGTTCTATGTTCTATCAATGAATGTTTCCATCAGATTCTTAAAAACAGAATATTTTAATAATTCCGAGTTCCCAAGAAGTAAAATAAGCTCTTCTTTTAAAAATAATCCTAAAAATCTCCGTTCAGAACCTCAAAAAAGAGAATATTTTAATAATTCCAAGTTCCTAAGCTCTTCTCCTAAAAATAATTCCGCAACTTTATATAGAAGAAGCAAATTCCATGTTCTACATCAGTAAATTTCCATCAGAACGTCGAAAACAGAATATTTTGTGAGAAGTAAGGCACGCTCTTCTCTTCTCGATCCGTGTGAGAAGCAAACTCTACAAATTCTCTCTTTAAAATAATTAAATTTGATTATAAAAAATGAATGTAAAGATTAATAAAATTAATAAAATTGTAATTAAATCTTTAATAAAAAAGATAAGGATAAAAAATAATTTTATAAATATTAAGTTTTGAGTGACTAGAATTTGAAGAACCTGATAAATGTAAAATCATTAAACGAATAAATACTAAAATTAAAATGATTAATGATAAAATAAAATATAAAGAAAAAAAATCGATTTAATGTAGAATTATTAATTGAAAATCCTCCTCGAATTCATTGAACAATTGAATATTTGTCGAATGTAAAGAAATGCAGATAATAAATTAGTAATTACTATTGCTCCTCAAAATGATGTTTGACCTCATGGAAGTACATAATCGAAAAATGCAGTTGCTATTGACAAAAAACAAAATTGTTCTTCCAACTAGTCAAACATGAGTTAATTTAAATGAATGATAATATAAATTTCGTCAAATATGACTCATATCCAACGATCCAATATTTGAATTCGTCGTTTAATTGGCCGATGAATAATGAAAAGTGACTGAAAACAGTGACTTACCGGGCGTGAGAGACATAGCTTGCTGCCTCCTCGATCTCGAGTTGTCACGTTTCCCAGCGGAAGACTGCGAGCCGGAAACTTGCAGCCCCGGAGCACTAACCGCACGCTTCGGTCCACCGATAGCGCCAGCGACGTTGCTGTTCCTGGCGAATCCTGGCGGCCGATACCTGGCCGATTTCACGCCAGAATGCTGCGGTAGGAAATGATACACACTGTGAGCCTTGTGCATCGTCGACGAAGGCGTTGTCGACGTGGTCGTTAATCCAGCTGGCGTAGTGGAAGAAGCTGGCAAACGCGGCAGAGAATTAGTCGCTGCCGTGATGGCCGACTGCATTCCGCGTGGAAGAGTCGTCGCTCGAGATTCACCGGTGTATTCCAATTCGTCCTCCGTGTCTTCGTCACCTGTGGACGTGTCTGTCGATGTATTGTTTCGAATTTTAACAGCGATCGTGACTTTTTCACTGGGGAGTCGTTTGACGACCAGAGACGTAAAGAGCGTAAATTAAACAGGTAGCTTCGATTTGTGATAAAAATTAAATTATCAATCGTGGAAAATGATGAACACTGTTGTCTTTCTTTTTTTTTTTTTTTTTCTGAGTAACAGACGTTGCAGTCGAACTTTTCATATCGGACTTGTACAATTAAAATTTGTACAGAACTTTTCGCTATTGGAGTTAAGGTTCATATAGATTTATATAGCAGAAGTTTTTGAATTTATATAATTAAGATTCGAATAAATTAATTTATTAAACTAATTATGTTTGAAATTTTATTTCCATAAATAGCATGTGAAAAATTCGACGATTTCAAGTCTAAAGTTACATACGACTTACGTATATATATTTCAAATTATTTATCGATTGTTATAATACTATGTTTCACTGCTAGTAGCAAGTAGTCTACTCATAACAATTATCGATTTCCACATTTTCCAAGATTAGACATCATGAAATATTCATGGTCTTTGCACCTCTACTCTATCCCCCTTTCTATCATACCAAAGTGACTTCATGTTGAAATACACATTAGAAGAATCTCAAATTGAAAAGTTTTCTTGGAACAATTGGCCGTAGAAGGAGCGTCGAGTTCATACGAAGAACATGGATGAAACGATACACGACAAGCAACATTTTCTATCTTGTTATAAAGAGCAATTTTAAAAACTAATTTCAAGTCGAAATTGAAATATCTCCTTGATAAAGACGTTTGAAAAAATATGAATAACGTTAATTATCAAGTTAAAATAATTGCAAGCATTACTTGTCAAAAAATCGATAAACACGTATCGTATTTTCATCGTGCGATCTTGGTGCAATAAGATATTGATACTGATGTAAAATAATATAATAAACTTGCCAGACTCGCCCCTGGTGTTGGCATCAGGCACAGAAGACCTCCTCCTGTTGCTCCAGATCCTTTCTTCGACCGATCCTCCGCTGGCAGCACCTCCGCTCCCGCCGCCGATGGAGCCGCAGCTTCTAACCCTGTCCAACTGTTCCCTCGAGAAGCTTTTCGGATTGAACAACAGATCCCCAGCACTGCGACGCTTGGCAGCCATTGCCAACGCGTTAGCACTAGCACTAGCACCGACACTGTCCCCGGAGCAAGCCAACAGGCTCAACTTCGTCCTGGAATCGGCGGCCATTAACGCGGATTCGAAGCTTCCCCGCCAGGAGAACCTCTCGTAGTCGCTGGCCTCGCGTTCTTCGCCCTCTTGCCCGGTTGACGCCGCTGGATGGCTGTTGATCAGCAACAGAGGATCGTGTGACTTGGATCTAGGTAGCTGCAAGTGCGTCGACGAAGGAGCATTGGTCGAGTCGGACGTGGAGTCGTCGTCTTCCGTAGTGGAGGCCGAGGACGGCGTTCGATGATGTTGGGTGTAACGTCTCCAACTGGTTGTCGAGTGATGTTGAACGGCCGGTCCACCCTCTGAGACCTCGTGCATCAGAGCGACCAGTCTACTGCCGATGTGGTGCATCACCTTAGCGATCAACGGTGGGCTACTGTGCGGCGTCGAGTTAGCGTCGGAGCTCACGCCATCGCCGGCCATCTTCGTGAAACTTTGAACCAATTTCTGATAGACGAACGCGGTATCTCTGCCGAGGCAGGGAGGCTGCATTCCAGCCGGCCCGGCTTTATCTTCCCTCTCCTTGTCCAGCAGATTGTCGCCAGACGTGGTGTCGAATTTACTGATAATCTGCTGGCAGCTTTGCGAGATCTGCTCCTGCAACGCTGATCGACGACCACCGGCTGCGCCCTCCAGATCCGAGCTGGTATAGTCGGAGCTGTCGTACGAGTCGGACCACGTGTCCTCGGAACTCAGATACTCGACGATCTCGCGCACTTGCTCGTCCCGGATCCCGGGCACGGTTTTCATCAGCCTGGTCAGCTCGTTCTCGAAGTACACCAACTGCGGCGGTTTCGTACGATTCTGGGAGCACAGTCTGGCCTTCGAGGAGTAACCGGGCAGCCTGGGGCTGGGAGCGGGCGACGCGCCGCTCGAATTCGCGCTGTTCGTGTTCTGATTTTGCCCGTTGCTCGAATTCGCGACCATCGTCTTGAAGAACTGTCTCATCTTCGACATCATCAGGTTCGTTTCCTCGTCGCTTGACCAATTGTTGAAGCTGTCCTTTCTCGACAGGGAAGCGTTCGGTAAGTGAGGGGGCAGCGTCGCGTGGCCCAAGTGATGATCCACTTTGGACAGATTGTTCCCCTTTTCGACTCCAGGGATCCCCCCTTCCGTGGACGTCCGAATACTCGCGTTCCGAGCATTTTCACCGTTCTCGTTGTTAGAGCGATCCTTCCCAGTTTCTTGACCGAGCTCGGTACCAGCAGCTTGGCCGTCGTTGGGCAGCTTCTGGTGCTGGAGTAACAGGTCGTCGCAGCTACCCACGAACCCGGAATCTCGCGATTGTTGTTTCGATCGTTGACTGTAGCTCAAAGACTCTGCCGAGCTCAGTTGCACGCTTCTGTTGGGATCAACGCCCAGCGACACGGCATTCGTCAACGAAGCATTCGCGGTGGTGGACGGGGAGGAAGAAGAGGACAAGAGAGACTCTGGCTGTGGCGTCTTTGCTCTCTCGGAATCTTCCGAATTGACGGCCTCTGCCTCGTTCTCCATCACCACTTCTCCCACCAATACCATTTCTCTACTTGGCTCGGGAGTTTTGTTCCTGTCGTCCGGCACGCGTGGACTTTGCGTTCCCAGGTTTCTCGGTTTCTTCTTCTTTCGTTTCACCGTGTCGAACTGGCCGTCGGTTCCAAAGGCCGCTGTCTGTCCGTCGTCCGCGCCGTCGGTCTCCGTGGAAGAACCTTCCGACTGCGTCTCCTGCGCGTCCTGATTCAAGCTCAAGTCTTGAAGGGAATTCTGCGAGCTCAGGTTCTGCGAGCTTTGAGTTAAAGCTAGTAAATTGTCCAAAGACGAGCTGTGCGATCTGCCGGTTCCTCTGGCGCGAACCAGCTTCTTCCTTCGCTGCGCTTCGGGACTCGGCCTTCCCTCCGAGTCACTGCCTACCGAACCGTCCGAGTCGCGTCTGTCCTGATCGAATCCGAGAAACTCCGACAGAAAGTACTTCTCGAGTCTCGAGGAGTTCAAGAATCCTTCCCCGGAGCTTGATCTCTCCTGGCTGCGGATCTCTCCGTTCGCCGGTGCCTCGTCCTGTCCCAGAGACTCCAAACCTTCGGAATAAATGGACGAGGTCTCGGAGAGGCTGTCCACCTCGCGCGAACCCATGCTCGAGTTGTTGCCATCGCCTCCGAGGCCGAAGAAGAAGTACTTCTCCAGTTCGGAGGCTGATGGTGGTCGTTGCTTCTTGGACGGGCTACCGGCGGCCAAACTCGGCTCTGCCTCGCTCTCCTCGCACGATTCCTCGACGATCGTGTGCAACGTGAAGTCGATCGCCTGTCTGTGGTAACCACGAAGCTCCTCCTCGCGATCGCCAAGGTTGTTCGCCTCGTCCTCGGAGCTCTCCTCCGTGGCTGTCGTTGCTCCAGGCTCGTCCTCGTCGTGCGAAACCTCCTCCACCCACGAGTCATCGTCCGCCAGACCTTCCTCGAGGATCACCACCCCACCGCTGGCGGAGTTGTCGTCGCTGGACTGCGAGGAAACACGTGCCCGCGTTCCCTCGCCGCGTTGCTCGCCACCACCCACGCCGCCGCGCTCTCTCGTCTCGTCACCGACTGAGTTGTTATCCTGCCGGGATCCACCGATTTTCCCCGCGTTTTTCACCGACACGTCGTCGCTTTCACTGGCACTACCGACACTCAGCCCGCTGTCCACTTCCGCTTCCGAGTGATTCGCGGTCACACTGGCCAACCGTTTCACCATCAACGGCTTCCTCGGACCCTGGCCGTTCTTACGATGCGGCTGCTCGGACACGGCTTCCAGCGCCAGCTGGAAGTACCCAGCCAGACCTTGGCTAGCCGTGTGCACCTCATCCGGTTGCAACAAGGTCGTCGTGTCCGAGGTGATGACGCTCACTGGCTGGTACGAGGCTTCCTGAGTGATCATCACGAGGCTCCTGTATTTGTTGCTGTTATTGTTGCTGTTGTTCTGTATCGTCGACGGAGGCAATTGTTGCTGCTGACCGATGGAATCGTTCGTCGACGCGGCAGGCGGGAATCCATTCTCCTTTCGAGTGGACGGGCGTCGCTCGACTGAGCGAAACCGTGTCGATTCCCCTTCTATCCCCTCTTCGGCGCAGCCTCCGCCAGTGCCACCACCATTGCCACCTTCGCTACCTCCTACTACCTGGCTGCAAGCAGGATTCTCGCCTCTCACCGAACCGCCGCTGCCACTGTCATGCGCACTCTCCGCTTTACCTGCGCTCGCCGCGCTGTTCTTGAACGTCTCTTGGATCTTGCTGCTGGTTGTCGCGTCGCCCACGTCGCCGCTGCTGCTCGCCGATTTCAACTCGGCTCCGACAGCTGCGTGATTCGGGTCGTTGTCTTCCGACGCGCCATCTTTGGACACGACCAGTGTCGTCGATTCTCCGGACTCGCACGCAACCGATTCATCATCCTCCGTGGCAATCACCGTTGAATCGTTCCCCTCCCCTGCCGGAGAGGTTGCGACACCATTGTCGTTTGTGTTATCCGAATGTTGCTCAACCATCTGCGTTCTCTCGCACTGCGCGTTCCATTTCGTCCTGTTCGACGTAACGGATTCCTCGCGACGATCGTCCTTGACGATTTTCACGGCGCCTTGACGATTCTCCCACCGCCACGGTGCTCCTTCCTCGTTCTTTCTGTTCAATCGCGACAGCAGCTCGTTGTTCGTCGCCGAGAACGAGAACTCGTTGGCCGACGTAACTTCGTACTCGTGCAGTTCGTCGCTGCTCACCTCGCTGCCCGTCGCGTTCGTCCCGTTGCTCGTGAAACTGTCCGAACCTGAGGAAATACTCGCACCGCCGTTCAAGTTCGAATTCAAATCGGCCACAATTAACGCGTCACGCTCGTGGTTATCGTCGTCGCGATCTACGCTCTCCACCGTCGTTATCTGCGATAACGTGTTATCGATTCCGGCTTCGCGATAATCGCTGTTACCTGGTTCTTTGCGATCGGCACCGTTCTCGCACCTCTCGGCTGAGAGATTTATCAACGGCGTCGAGGCGTAAAATTTCGGACTCTCCTCGATGTTCTTCGTCGACCAATCACTGTCGTTTGACATTTCCCGCCCGGAGATCTCCAAGGAGTCTGGAATTATGTTCAAGTCCCAAGCGTTGGTCGATGAGAGCTGCGTTTGGTTGTCTGAATCGGCGTTCTCGTTACATGTTATTTGACCTGACAATTCGTCGTTCTCTACTTTGTCAAGCAATGTCTCCTCTTTCTTCGCGATATTGTCCGCGCTACAGTTGAAAACGACCGGCTCGATGCTGTCAGGATCCAGGGTCTTTATAGACTTCAACTCGATCTGATTTTCCGAGCAATCGTTGTCGCTCGCGATGTACATCTCCTCGGGCATCTCGCGCTGCAACGACGACAGCGATATCCGTTTGTCGTTCGTTTCTAAATTGTGCTTCTTTCCGCGAGATCTTCTTTTCTCATTGGTGACCTCCTCTCTCTCAGACTTGTCGTTAATCTCCGAACCATCGTCCCTGCGACTCGATCTCTTCCCCCTCTCCAAATCGTCCTTCTTGTTGTTTCTCGTTCGA